TCGTTTTAATTTTTCATTTGGTTTATAGTTTAATAATGCAAATAATGAAATACGAAGAAAAAACAACAATTTGGAGGGAAAATCGTTTTACGGTGTGAAAATTTCCGTGGTGTATTCTCAGATCATGTTATGATGGCCGGGATGGTTAATGCCAGCTTATGCATTGTTTCTTCCAACACATAATCGTGTGTTTTACTATGATTATAAAGAAATAATCAAATTTTACTTTGAATTAAATAAAATTGACATTAGATGTCACAGCATTGACAGCTATGTCATTCGTAGTGGATTGTTTCCAAGGTAAGGATACGCTCAAAATTCATACTTTTTGATTTTGCAGCGCGGTGTAGAGTTTTGTTTAAACCGAAATAACTCCAGAACGGTACATTTTAGCGATATTAACAAGAGTACTTTTTTTATGAAAAAATGATCGGGCTTTTGATTTTTGGCATCAAAAATATCAATTAATAGGCTGAAAAAAAGAGTTATGACCCAAAAACTGGAAGGGTCCCATTGTCACCGGAAATCTATAGGTTTTACAAGACTTCCATTTACACCATATCAAAGAGTGTCTTTTTGTCCCTTGACATGCAAAGTTTCATAATAATCGGGTAAACGATAACAAAAATATTTCCAAAAAATCATTTTCCATACCGATTTTTGGAAAGCTGTAATTTTTCTATTTTTTGAGTTAGGTCAGTAAATACTGTGCTCTCTATTCTCATTTGTACAGGGGTATTCGTGGTTAAAATTATGCCACACATTTTTGAAACACGCGATATAATGGACGTGCACTGTTACAATCCTCTGATCAACGAGAATGAGTATCAATTTAATCTTAATATTTTATTTTTATTTGCAAACTTCTATACAATAATGTTTTCGTGCCAAATAAGAAAGCCGATTGCTTTGTTGCTGTATTCATTATATACATTACTTTGGCAATATTGTCGTTTACTCCTCTTCAAGTCAAAGTTAGAATTATGGAGGCGTGAGATATTAATACGCGACTAATTGCATTTGAGCTTCTCCATCAGTATATGGACGCAGTGTTGACGTCACATTTGGTAACAACATAACATGCCGTCAATACCAGAACGAACAGAAGGATAGGGGAAGCGCGATAGCTTTTACATTTTGACTTTCAATAATGAATAACGACGCAGCTTCAAACTTAATATGTAAGTAGGTATGTAATATAATTTTGAAAATCTGCATTGTGTAATTTCTTCTTGATGACACTTGAGGGTTTTTAATTAGTTTTATATAATTGTTTCGTAAATTATTTCAAATTGAATCGCTGGTTGGAAAATTTGATAATTTAAAGTTGGGAAATTGGAAATTTCTTAGATAGGGTAATATCAACGACCCCTGCAGGTTACGTGGAGTCAAGTTGCGTTCAAATTTGCTGAATATGCAACGTGACTATAGGCTTTTGAGTAATTAGGTTATGTGTTACCCCTTTATGAACATTGACCGGCTGTCAACCCTTTTCGAGTGAATCGACGAATCAAAATCAGGCTGCGGTTTAATAGAAACGGAAATTTTTGATCAAGTGATTAAATTTCTCAATTCGGCATTAATCGC